CTCACTGTCAGCATGTGGAAATCATTTAATTTGATCCAACCTGCTTCTGAAATGTCAATAGTTATTTCTGCCTCATGTCTCCTACTGCACCCCCCAAAAACAAACTCTGACAGAGTCAGAGCACTCATTGGGCACGTTTTCCAGGTTCTCTGTAGCTCTTGGAGACTTCCACAGTGCTCAACAAAGACATACTGAGACACTTTCAATCCTGGTGTAAGTGGGAGCAAATCTATTCGCGTTAGGGACACTGCAGCACCATTCAGCAGGTCTGAATTCGGCCAACTGCTTTTATTGAACTGGCCATTGCACCGCCACTGAGGTTCTCCATTTTAAAGCACTGGGCAGCAACACATGAAGAGAAGGCAATTGCTATAGTCCTGAAGGTTTCTCTAACCAGATGGGGATGTCCCCTTTGGGAACTCCAGCTAGAGTCTCCATGGAGCGACAATATGCCAAAGGGATGAAGCAGCAAAAAGGGTAAAAAACATTAACTTGCCCTGACCCTGGCCTGATGTTGTACATTACAGACATCTAACAGCCCATTATTTAAGCTAGATACGCTTCAAGGAATTCTGTCCCAGGAGATGGCTACGAAACACAAAGGAATAAGACTGTTCTGTGTTCACGCGGGGACTCTTTCAGTCTGAATTTACAGAAATTTTCCACTACGTCCAAACTGTTAATTGAACTGGGAAAGCCTGGGTTTTAGGAGACAGCTTCTCTCCACTCAGGGATGAGGCAATCTGACCCACATTTTCTCCTGTAAATGGCTTAAAAGCTATTTAATGAAATTTAACCTTTTGTTTTTTTTAAACATTCCTATGCAATTTCAGCTCCTTAAGGAAAAGAGGTGTTTTTCTTTACATTTCAGATTTTAAACCAACTGAAGCCAGAAGCAGAGCAAGTGACCTGTATACTAAGTTTACATTTTGTAGCTTCATGCATTTCCCTTAGGGAAACACATTATAAAAACAGAGCGTGGAGTAAAAGTGATCTCTGAAAAGAGCCATGATACAGTAGTAGAAAAAACAAAGGAAATGCCCAAGATGGGGTTGAGTTTAAAGGTAACATTTTCTAAAAAGGGACATTTTTCTTTAATCATACGAGTGCGTCCACAAGCACTGGGCCTGACTCTGGAAGCAAAACTCCCCTTGACTTAAACAAAAGCCCACTCAGTCCTGTAAGCTTAGGCCTGGGTTTTGTGGGAGGTTAAATAAGAGCTTCTTTTCATTTTCATGAGAGTCCTGAGGGTGCTGCTGATTGGATGGGTCATGCACTCCACATGAAACCCTTGAGTTAGGGAGAGGGAAAGACAGCCAGTTGGCAACTTGGGAGGTGTTTTATACTTTGTTATTTAAGGACATTACTCAATGAAAGGAGCTACAGTAGAAGTCCTCGTTTCCATTCTGATTTGACACATCAATTACTAAAATCCAAGAAACCGCATGTTCAGTTGGCACCAACAAATCACAATGTACCAACCTAAAAATGTTAATTTGCCCACATTTTGGGGAGAGAGGTAGACTATTCGGCCACTTCCATTCAGATGTAGAAGTGTACGTTAACATAAGAATGGCCATACTGGGTTACTCCAATGGTCCATCTAGCTCAGTAGCCACTGTTGGGAGACAGGATGATACCAGATGTTTCAGAGCCAATGAACAGAACAGAGCAATTATCATCGAGTGATCCATCCGGACGTCCAGTCCCAGCTTCCGGCAGTCAGAGGTTTAGGGACACCCAGAGCATAGGGCTGCATCCCTGATAATCTTGGTGCCACTGATGGACCTATCCTCCAGGAACTTATTTAATTTTTTTGAACCCACATACATTTTTGGCCTTCACAATGTTCACTAGCAACAAGTTCTATATGTTGACTGTGCATTATGTGAAATACTTCCTTATGTCTGTTTTAAAAACTTGCCGCCTATTAATTTCACTGGATGACCCCGGTTCTTGTGTTACATGAAGGGATAAATAGTTCCCTATTCGCTTCTGTCTGACCTTCATTTGGTAGGGGGAGAACTTGTAGGTGACACACACATTGGTGATAGGACCTTTCCGGTCACACCAAAAAAATGCTATCTAAATTAGGGTCTCATAAAAACTCTGGGCAGACTTTGATGGACACACTCATTTGTTACGCCAAATCCCCAAGTCTTTACTCAGGCGATGGAGTTTTGGTTTCAGAAATGAGTAAAGACTTCATAATTTGGACTCTACTGGTGGTAGTTAGGACTTCAATTTTATTAGCTTTTAAAACAAAGATTTGCTTGAGTTTGTCTCCAAAATTACTTTTCTGCACTGAAAACAGTCTGTGTCCAAAGCAGCTCCTGTTGGAGGAAGAATCCTATTACAATCCTGATTTTTAAAATTAATTGCTGGAGAAAGTTCCTTACTCTCTTGAAGTTTGTATTCATAAAGATTTCCTTTAAAAACCCCAGCACACTGTGTAAGTTCAGTCTGAAGGCATCTGCAAACTTTCCCTGGGATGTAACTTTAGCCAAATCATACTCTAATGACATGAGTTTACTGGCTATCGCATGTTCCTTTCCACTCATTTTTAAAGCACAACATTGGGTTTCTCTGCATTGTTTTTATTGCAGGATATTTTAAAAACTCATTTTGGCTAGAACCCTAAAAACATCCTGTCTCTTCTGAGCAGCTGGATAAAATTTTGCTATGGATGGAATATTTTCTAACAAGAACAAATCACATTAAGTTTACCATCTGCACTCTATACATTCTAAAATGGTTGTAAAAATCAAGGCTACTAGAAAAAAAGATTTTGATTTCATTACTTGTTTTTGAATGTGCAGTTTCTCTGCTCACTGAGGGAGCTGCATAATTATAGATTAATGCTGACATTAATCATGCCCCTCTGAGCTGGAATTTTGAGAAGCTGGTATTTCAGCCGTTATGTAATTTTCTGAAATTCCCCACCAGCTCAGACCTGAAGAGCTTTGTGTGTCTCAAAAGCTTGTCCCTCTCACCAACAGAAGTTGGTCCAGTAAAAGATATTACCTCCCCCACCTTGTCTCTCTACCAGTTCAGAGTAAGATATGAATGGCTCACGACCAACACTTATACACGGTAAAGAAACTGGATCCCTCCAACTTTGGGATTCCATTTCACTTACAGACCAACAACAACATAGGCCAACTACTTTTACAAATGAGCTAACAATAAACTTGGGAACCTTAAACTCAACTGGGCTAGACACTAAAAATCATGGTATTAATAAAGACACTGGATTTATTGCATATTACACAACAATCTGTAACCCACTAGCCTCCCTTTTTGTCCTGTGGCTGCAGGGTTAACCCTGAATGACCCCTAAGAATGCGTTAACTACCCATGCTAAACAATCTGTTCCACCTTGCATGTAGCATTGATGCTGGGAGTACCCTTCCCAGACCTGAAGAAGAGCTCTGTGTGGCTCAAAAGCCTGTCTCGTTCACAAACAGAAGCTGGTCCAACACAAAAGATATTACCTCACCCACTGCTGCAAATATCCAGCACTCATTTCCAAAGTAACAGAAGGCAGAATTCAGAGTAACAACTGTTTTAGTCTGTATTCGCAAAAAGAAAAGGAGTACTTGTGGCACCTTAGAGACTAACCAATTTATTTGAGCATGAGCTTTTGTGAGCTACAGCTCACTTCATTGGATGCATCCATATGGATGAATATCACCTACTCCCTTCACCCCTATACCAGGTTGGACAGTCAATGAGCTTATACATCGTTTTATGTCAGCAAATCAGATTTTGGTAAAAATGTGTGTCCTGAAGTGACAACTCAAAATCTCAGTTATCCCAAACAACAACAAAGTCTGCAACTTGGGGGGGACTGGTCACACTGAGGCCTTGACAGCCTGTGCAGCAATACAGAATATCCAGGGTTGTCAATTTTAGACAGCAAAGGTGAGTGTTAGGCAGACACAGAATTTCACTGATTCTGACTGAATACGTACTTCATGGTGCATTTAGCAGTGTCATTTATTTAGGTAATTTGTAACAAAACTGCACGATGTCAGGCGTTCGTTTCCTTTAGTTTAGCACTAGCAGGGAGTACCTGCTGTGTGCAAGATGGGAACCGAACCGCATGAACTAAATGTTAAGTCGTCTAGGGAGCCCATACCAAGCTCATACCGCAGACATTCTGCTTGCTTTTAAACCCACATGTGCTGCTCCATTCAAGCAGATTGGGTTGCATGCATGTAAATGAGAGGGAAACCGGCTCATTTAGTCTTTTTCTGCGGCATGCTTTCACCTCAGGTCAAGAAATGCTGCAAGCCTGACTCCCCACACGGCAAGGGGGAAACAACTTCATAAATGCTTATGTAAGCCCAAGTGCCCAAAAGGTGGGGGGGCCTGTCTGAACAGAACGCCCACAAAGCTCTGCCTCCAGCATCCATATCCCTAGAACCGGAACTTGCCCACAGGAGTACTGCAGTGTGGTCAGGAGACTGGGTTTCCTCGTTGACTATTTTTATAAACAGGAAACACACCAGGAACACAAGACACAAGTTAATTTGATAACTATGGTTAATGAAGTTCTCTTTTCTCAAGTAGATAAAACATATATTGTCTGCCTGAAACATGTCTATGAACTGTTTTTATCTGACAACAAGTAGTCAGAATGACCATTACCGCTCCTTGTGACAGGGACGCCATCCCTACGCATGTATAGATTACCTATTATGGCCTTGGAATCCAATGGAGTGGGATAATATTTCAAGATGAACATTTTGGCTCAGTTTTACCAAATCAAATCCACTGGGACCAGTCTAGCAGCTAGGGCGCAGCACCAGACTGATTTCTCCAACCCGGTCTGCCTGTCTCAGTCTCGTTTCTCTGGCCACAGACTGGGCTTTCCCTTCACTTGGCTCCCTAGCAACCAGACACAAGTGTCATGACGGTGCTTCAATGCAACACTAAGAACGTCCAAAACATTTAAGGAGTGGCTTATCCCCTTATGCTTAGGGCTGGTCCTTTACCTTTTTTGATCTTCTCATGGAAGTTAATAGCATCCACAGAAGCTGTGACAATGTTGGTCTTACAATGGCGAGCAGCTACAATGCCAGCTACCTCATCCATTAACTTCATAGTGACACCTGCAAGGGGAGAATTACAGATTAGTGAACAAACTGAAGACAGGGTGATGTTCCTCGACTCAACGTTCTTCTGAAAAACAACAGCAAGATACATTTCAAAGAGGACAAATTGTAAATGAAGAGTTAGCTACTGCCATGTTTCCTGCACTCTGAACGGGCATTCACTCTACCCCCATTCTGCAGGAGGCTAAACTCACTCGAGTGGGTGGGGGGTCGTCTCTCTGGGGCACAAAGGGCAGCAGACTGCGCTCTCCTCTCCATTGAGATGCTGGGAAAAGCTGACCAGGGTTGGGTTTGGGTTTGGTTTGAAATGAGGAAGATGTGAGCAATAGAAATTCCACTAACTAAACTTTTACAGTCTGTCCTCCAAAGAGGCCAACATACACCTTGGCTTTGGGAATATACTCACTAGCATCTCTGCATCGTTTATTAAGAGACTACTGTACCAACTAGACACTTCACAGAAGTAACCGACTGGCATGGCCCCTGCCCACAGGCACTTAAATTGTCAGTGTAGCCACGAAGCAATGTGTATGGTTGACAAACCCTAGAAAGGATGGATTGACAAGGAAGCAGGATAACAGGAATACGCCCCCACAGCCAGCCAGCCTGAAGGCACAGGTACATTATAATAAATATCTATAAACTGCGTCACTGACCCCTTTATTGCAGGCATCCCACAAGGCATGACTGTCCAAGAGGGATTCAAATGGTACTGGGTTGTGAAGCAGGTCAGCAAGGGCATTCCACAGCCGGTTATACTCTGCATGTAGCGCACGTCTGCACTAAAAACTTAAGTTAGCCTAGGTTAGGTTGACTTACAGCCACCACAGCAATTACTGCGTGGTTCACGTCCACACTACCCTCCTGTTGCTGGTGCACTTCCATTGACTTAGAGGGGCGGTGTAGGGGCTGCCCTGAGGCTCCTGGCTTCCTGCCAGGCTGTTGCCTGGGCCCCCTGGCCCCCGCAGGAGAACTGCAGCCGCTGGGGTTCTCTGCTCCTGTCCCCACGAGCCCGGCAGCCACCCAGCAGGGACCAGAGAGGGGCAGCCATGCTCCTGGCAGGGAGCAGAGAACCCTGGCAGCTGCGGTGCTCCCGGTGAGGAGCTAAAAGCCTCGGGGGACAGGCCCCAGGCTCCCAGCCGGGAGCCTCAGTGTGTCTGGGTTCCCAAGGGGAACGGGGAGCTAGGCCCCTGGGAGGCAGCCCAGCTGGGAGGGAGGAGCCTGGGGGCAGACTGGCTCTAGCTGGAGCCCCTGCCCCACCAGGCTTTCTTATCAATTTCACAGCTCTAGTATGGAGCCATGAAATTGACAAGAATGACAGCCCACAGCCAATGTAAGTATCCCGCAGTGTCTACCCGGCCACTGCATCGCCCTCCTACATCGACATAAGTCTTACACCTCTCGTGGAGATGGAGTTATGTCAGTTTAATAGGGCGCTTACACCGGAGGGAGCAAGGCTGCAGTGTAGACACTGACATAATTAGGTTGAAGTAAGTTGCCTTTTGTCGACCTAACACTGTAGTGCAGATCAAGCTTAGACTTCATTACTAAGCAGTTCAAGCTTTAAGGTCTCATGTGGCATAGTTGTATACTGCTCCCCAGTTATCAGAAATCTAATATGTTAAGAACACAGTCTCTGTTGCCTTTCACGGGCCGAGGGATTGTTCATTACACTCGCAAAAAACAAGTGAAGGAAGCACTGATCATTTGCTTGTCTACCCAATGTTTAGCCATTACAGACACCTTATTACGTAGCCTTTTGGCCTGACAACACGGCTTATAACAGCAACAGAGTCTGTGATTGAAAAGAACAGAGATGCAAAGGAGACCCCACCCTGCTAATGGATTACAGTTTATTTTATTAATTCAACTCGTATCAAATGTGACCTGTAGGGCTCCATTCTGTGGTGATAAAGGCAGACCACCACCCAGCTTCTCTAAGCACTGCTCCGATGTCTGCATACACCAGGGATATTCAGAAGCAAATGGTCTGTCCTAGAATATGCTACAAGGACATATAGTCTTTAAATCATAAATTGCAGGTTTCACAGCCATCAATTGCTAAAAATACTGTCGCGGTTTTGTTAAAAGGCACTGAGGCAAAAAAAAAAAAAAGCGGTACTGAGCATCCTGAAATATATTTAGCACAGTCTTCAATCAAAGGTAACCTGCACTTCACCTCAAAAGCTCTTATTCCCACTATACCCAATGGATGCGAAAATGAAACTATCAATCTGCTGTTTATCTGCAAGTCGGGTAATTTATGCCTTTTACTTCATGTTTTCACACAATCAGATGACAGATTTGTGACCCAGTTGTACAGTACTGCAAAGAACGGGCAGAGAAAATTTTTCAGGTAATCCAAGCTGAATCTTCGAGTCACTGCCGGCAGAATAACCATGTGAACCAAATGACAGACAGAAAGATGGACCAATAAACATGGAGGATCTTTGTCTAAGGTATTTTGTGAGAGTCAGCACTGTGCTGCATGCTCATTTTGGGATAAAACTACAAAACAACCGGAAACTTAAGGGCGCAATCCTTTTGCCAGAGACCAATTACCAACGGTCACGGCTGTTCTCTGCTTTGGACACGGACACACTGGCATCCTCCGACTCTGGGGACAGAGGATAAGGAATTATTTGTATTACCCTGATCCCACTGAGCTAGGCCCTGTAGAAATACCTGCAGAGATCTCCTGACCTGAAAAGCTTGCTGTCTCACAACTGAATGGTTTATGATGATAGAATGGAACAACAGCTAGCAATGCACAACTGTTTGAAGTGCAAACTCCCCTAACCTTACAGGGAATTCAGCAGAACTGCTCAGTTTTCTGCTGTCCAGTGTATACTAATAGAGAGGGAAATCAAGTAATGAAGTAAAATGAACTGTACCTTTTCAGACATCACCCCCCCGCCCCGACACGCTCACCCCCAATCCCAGTGCTCCTCATGCTCAGTTCCAGGACATTTCTTCCTTCCTGCAGATGCTGACTGCTCTGCAACCACTTACAGTCTTTCCAGATGCTGGTGCTTAAAATAAATTGTTCCCAATGGATTTCTACCAAAATTCCATTCCTGCTCATTTAATTTCATCCAACACATCCCTTCCACTAGGAAGCTTTTCAAACACACCGCGCCCAGGAAAGGCCTAACAGCGTTTCCACTAAAAGAAGGTTGCCACTGGTGGCTGAGACTCCTGCACATTGAAGGAGTTGCAGAACCAAACTCTGGGGCACCAAGCTCAGATCCTTAGGTCTCTCTTTTAACCTCATTCCCTTGAGAATTCCCTCAATTCCCCATCTGTAACATGAGGATAATACCACCCCCTCGCCTCATGGTGGTGTTGTGAAGGTAAGTGTTTGCCAAGAACTCAGATACTATAATGATGAGTGCCATACAAAAAACCCTTGATGAAACTGATAATTCTGACTTCAGAGCAGGGCTTGAATACTACACAATAAATAAGGTGCGCACACTGAATCATGAGGATAAAACAAGATACTGAATATCTGCTCACTGGAGTAAGCACCATCCACCCTGTGCACTTAGTGAGGCAACCTTAATTCTTGCATCTCCTAAATTTTGAGTGCTTGATTGTGTAAGCTTAATACTGTTCTTTTAACAGTTTTTGCATCAGATTTCGTGGATTTTTTAAAAAGCAAACTGAAAAAAAACAAACAAATTCCTTCATGTGGAATCATACCGACACACCCACATGGTTCATCAGCAGGGTTGGAACCTATAGATCCACTGCACAGACCTCTGCCACCTGAACTGAGTAACTGATAGCAGTAGTAGGCTGTCGCCCACTTTGTGTACCAGCACTACTGGGAGAGGAGACACTGCCACTGGGTCTCACAGATATTTTTAATAGCAGAGGAATGGAGACACTCAGGAATTTTGGGTTCCATTTCAGGCTCTAGTGGGGAATGTGCTCTAGGACAGACTTCTGCCCTTTCCTGCCAAGCTTGATCCCTCCTGCACCCTCCTCTCAAACCTCTCCAGTCTCTTCCCCACCCCCAGCTCCTTGCGCCAGTCCCATTCTCCTTGCCTACCCAGTCCCAGGCCTCCACTCCCAGCTCCCGGCCCAATCGGTCTCTCCTTTCCCCTCCCCTCTAATCCAACACTTCCTCCCCAGGCTTCTCATTCACTCAGTATCCCCTAAGCACATCCCCAGCTCCTCCCTTCTGGCTCCTTGCCTCAGACTCTTTGCCCAGCCAGTCCCAATTCTCCCCCAACTCACAGGGGGACATTCAGCCTGGGGCACACACAGGGCATGCCAAATTTCAGCCCAAACAGCTACAGTTTGCTCAAAAGTTATAAGCACCTGGAAACAGAGTCTTGTAATGGAAGGTGTCAGGCAACATTGAGAGGCAGTGGTACCAGCCCCTTCTCTAGCAGAAACCTGCTGCCACCCTATCTGTACTAACAGCGCAGCAGGTACGAGACATTTCCTACAACCCACTTCCCACAGATCAAGGCATTTAAAGCACGTTCCCCCTTCTTTCGAGAAATGAGCGCTAAAGTAATAGTGAAGTCGGACCATTCATTCTTCACGGCGGTCTGGATGTCTGGTGAAGGGAACTCACCTTCTGTGGATAAGCAAGCTGTTTTATACAGGCTGCATTTATCATATTCTATTGTATGTAAGATGCTATAAATAGCTTAAAGATTCACTAACACAAGGCAAGTCTGCCAAGTACAGTTTATTAAATATGTCATTTTATTCCACTGAGATTTAGCCCTGCTTGGCCTAAAGCAGAGCACATTGTAAGATTCCACTGACAGAATATCTAACGGTTACTAAAAATAGCACAGCGCTGCAAGCATGCGAAAACGGTGACATCCTCTCCAGCTCCTTTTACTGCTTCAAAGCACAGGATATGAGCTATAAAGTAATAAAATTGCATTTTTCTTCAAACAATAGTTTTTCTACCAAATATGGACAGTTCAGGGAGTAACATGGAGGTTTAACACCTTTATTTCCCCACCTCA